CACAGCCCCCACCCCCGCTGTCCATGATCTGGTCTCCCTGCAGCCTGGAGAGTGTGTTTCCGCTCATAGCCAATGGCCAACGCAGTGCCACATCGCAGGCCATGCACCAGCTCTTTGGGCTGTTTGTCACGCTGATGTTTGCCTCTGTGGGTGGGGGCCTTGGAGGTGAGTGACCTTGACGGGGAGGGGGGATCGGGGGCTGATGGGAGCACCAGGTAGGGGGGAAGATGGGTGGGGGGTTCTTGGGAGGAGGGTCATTGGAGCCTATGTCCTGACATTGATTCATTCACTCACAGATATTTGTTGAGCACCTCCTTTGTGCCGGGTGAAGGTCGGGTTGTGGGTTCAGGGGTCACTTTCTCGGGTGAGGAGATGCAAGCGGGTGCTGCTCTCTCCTGGTGACAAGGGAGACTGGAGGCTGGGACCTTGTCGCCTGGTCGGTTCCCCCATGCTGCCCCCTCTGTCCACTAGAGGGCAGCACAACCTCAGGCCGAGGCCTAGAAGGGGCCACGGCAGTGTCAGGCAGGGGCAGGGACCGCACAGCCCAGAGCACAGAAAGGCACCTTGCAGGCGCCCTGGGTCAGCTAGCCCTTCCTCATTCTGAAGTCTTTTTGGCCTTCAAAAGAAAACCTGATTCAGCACCCCGCCCCTCCTGCCCCTGCCCTCACCCGGGAGCTTCGTTCTCTGACCAGGGCCAGTTCATTCATTCATTTAATGATTTCTCCGTCAACATTCCCTGTGCTCCTCCTGTGTGGGAGGCCGCAGAACGCTCCGGAGCTGTGGTTCATGACAGAATCACGTTTTGGTCTGTGACTGGCATTTTAAACTTGAGCACGTTGTTTAACGTCTCTGAGTCTGAGTCGTGGTTTGTCTAATCCTGGGATGACACTCGCCTTGCAGAGTTGCTGGGATCACCCGGGAAGGCCATGCAGTCAAGCACTTTGTACAGGGCCAGGAACACAGTCGGTGTTCAGCAAATGCAGCTGTTGTTTGCCTGCCCTGGCGCCACGTTGACTCCATGCCCCCAGCCCCTGTGCACCCCGTGGCACTGGGTAGTAACCTCCCCCGTGGGGGTGAAGGGGAAACCTCACATGCCCGTCCCCCACCAGGACTCCTGCTGAAGCTGCCTTGCCTGGACTCCCCCCCAGACTCCCTGTGCTACGAGGACCAGATTTACTGGGAGGTGAGCCCCTGCTGTGGCTCCAGCCCTCAAGGCCCTCGTACCCTCTGACCTCCCCTGCCCCACTGTCTGTGGCCCAGCCTGCCTTTTCCTTTGGGTACAATCCAAAGCTGGAGCTCCTCATTACCCCCGCCACCCCTCCTGACTTCCAGGTGCCCCAGGAGCATGAAGATAAAGCCCAGGAACCCCTGAGGGTGGAAGAATCTGACACTCAGGCCTGACCTGCTGCAGCCCCTGAGAGGATGCGCTCCCTGTGGAAGATGGTGGTTGGCTGCTACTGGGAAGTTCTGCCTTTCTAGCTCTGCCTGGGAGGGGGGTGGTAGGTGGCTGGGGACACATGGAGGGTGGAGTGAGCTGAACCGGCTGCGGTTGGAGGAGAGCCTCCCCGGCTGCCCACCCCACTGTCCTACCAGCCTGCATTATGGGTTGAAGGGGCCAAGACACTGCCCATCCACTGGTCCCGCGTCACATTGTCACAGTGAAGCCCGAACCAGACCTGGCTCTCTGAGGGCAATAAACCACTGTCACTAAGAACTCTGACTCCTCTTGTGTCCTGGGAACATGGGAAGTTCCTCTTACCTTCTAACTCACAATGTTAGAAACTCCGGGTGGGGGCCAGATGTGGTAGCTCACACCTGTAATCCCAGCATTTTGGGAGACTGAGGTGGGAGGATCACTTGAGTCCAGGGGTTCAAGACCATCCTGGGCAGCCACGCGAGGCTTTGTCTCTACAAAACATACAAAAATTAGCCGAGTGCGGTGGCATGTGCCTGCAGTCCCAGCTACTTGGGATGCCGAGAGGGGAGCATAGCTTGATCCAGGAGTTTGAGTCTGCGGGGAGCCACAGTCCTGCCACTGCACCCCAGCCTGGTTGGCAGAGTGAGACACTGACTCAAAGCAAAGCAAAACAAAACGACAAAAAGAGAACTCCAGGCAGGAAAGGACTTTAGTGCTGATAAAATCCTACTTCCCTGGGTAGGAACTCCAGGATGCCAAGTGAGGGCCAGCCTGGGCTCGCTGATGAGGGGAGCCCTCCTCTCCCGGGAAGCCTGTGTTGTTATGGGACAGCTTGGGCTGCTGGAGAGTTCTTCCTGTTCCCAAACTGTTGCTGCCGTGACCCTCAAGGCTTCCACGGGGCCTAAGAGGGACATAAGACTTGTTTGCCTCCAACCCTCAGATGCTGGTGGCAGCCGTCACGTAGGTGCCACTTACGTCCCTGTGCTGAGACTGGGGAGTGGGGAATGTGAAGGGCATTGTGTGGATTCTGGCTGTGGCAGAGGAGGTCGCCCACCCAGGGCCTCTGTTGTCCTGAAGTCATTGGACCACCAGAGGGCGCTCCAGACCCGGCAGAGGAAGATGCAGCCTTCATGCCCTTCTTTGGTCCTCTACCAAGGACAGGCAGTCCTTCCTACAACCTAACTCCCTTCCTGTCTGCTTCAGCTCTGGTCCTCGTGCTTTCAGGCCACAGCCTTTTTTGAGCTTCTAATCCCCAACTACATGTCCGGCAGATGCCAGGGGTTTCAGAGACTCCATCCCTCCAGTAGACCCGAGCCCCCTTCCCAACGCTGAAGGACTGAGACCCCCCTCTGCCCTCTCTGCCCTTCCTCCAGGCTTCTGGCAGTGGAGCATGATGACACATCTCTGTCCCCCGGAACCAAGACCATGTAGACCTAGGAGACCCAGGAGGAAGGTGGGGGGATTCCTGGGGCCTTGCCCTGGGACAAGATGGCCCTTCAGGCTCCGTCCTCAGCTGTAACTGGAGGGGCTGTACTCAGCTGGTTGGAGAAGCCAGGCACAGGGGTGAGGCGAGGGGAGGGCAGGGAGAGCGGTGGAGGGACGAGCCCCCTATGACGTCCTCCCTGCTCGTGTTGCCTGACTCTGCTCCTGTCCCTGCAGCGTCCTTCCTTCCTCCACAGCCTCTTCTGCCCATTGCTGTTGGGGTGGGCATGTTGTGGGGAGGTCCAGAGTGGAGGCCAAGGGTGCCTGCTGGGATTGCAAAAAGGTGCCGCCACAGTTGCCCCTGCTAGGAGGAAGGGAGGGCATGTGAGCAGAGGCCTCGGCCCCCAGGTTGTTGGCTCCCAAGCTCTTCGTGGGTCCACATTCAGCCAGCTGACCTGCCCCCATCCTGAGCTCGCAAGCAGTTCTCACACAGAAACCTGAAAGAAGACATCCAGGAGAGGGGTGATTCGAGGGTAGGGTGAGACCCTGGCCCAGCTCATGCTGGGTGGAGAAATTCTGAGTATTCACTTATTATAACCCTTTACAGCCTCACCCTCTACCTCTACTGCTGTTCCTTCTTGATAACCAAGTCTTCTCCAGGCCTGAAAAAACGGGCAGGTCCAGCCCAGGCCGGTCATTCAACCCAGGAGAAGGGAGAATTGAGTCCTCTTTGGGAGAGGGCAGTTGCCCCGCCAGCTTCCAAGGGACCAAGGGCTAGCGGTCCCCAGTGGCTGCCAAGATGTCCCTGAGAAAGGAGGGACAGGACAAGGGCTGACCCGCCAGCGGTGACTCAGCGGCCGCATAGCTCCAATCCGCACCACCCCAGTGAAGCCTCTTAGGGCCAGCTCTGCTCCAAGCCTCTGCACCCTGGGCCCATCCTCCTTCAGGGCTGCCCTCTCCCGAGCCAGGTCCTTGGTTCTTGTCTCTGCTCCTCTCGACTATGCCTCTAGGGCTGGGAACACGCTGGGCCCTCCACACACCGTTCCCTTTCCCGGGACTAAACCACGACCTGGGGTCTGGGTGTGGAGTGTTCGCTCCATCACTGTTTTCAGTCTGGGGGCTCAGAGGGCAGGAAAGGCAGGGATCCTTGGCGCCCCCTGCTGACAGAAGGCCGAGTCCCCCCTCCTCTCCCCGGTGGCTCCTGACTCGCCTCATGGGTTAGCCACAGGGTGGCCCATCCTTTCAGGCTGGGTCAACAGGGTGACAATGAGCAGGTCAAGGAGATGGCAGGGACAGGGGCCAAGGGGCTCCTTCCTCACCCCCTCAGGACAATGAGGTCTCTGCCCCAGGAACGGCCCCTCTGATCAACACCATCATTACGCTCAATGCAGGACAGGCGGACACTTGCCTGCTCATGAGCTTTGTCCAGCTCATGCCTGATCGCTGGGGACAGTGATGGACGGGGACACGGCCCCTGTTTGCCCCCCGAGAAGACTGATGGGGGAAGACAGGCTGGGCCAGGCCTGGGGTGAAAGCCGCAGAGCCAGAGGCGGTGAGGGAAGGCTCCCTGGAAGCAGCCACTGTGCTGGCTTGGTGCGAGGGTGCTGGGGGCCCCAGGTTTCCTGCTCAAGGACGCCTGGAGAGCAGGCCCGAGATCTCGGGGTCTCGGTTCGTCTGTGCCTGGGCGGCCGAGCCCCGGACGGGAGCTGGGTTTGCTCCTCTGACCTCTGGAGGACCCGGCGCTCAGAACCTGGGTAGCCTGGGAAAGGCCCGAGACCCCCCTATTGGGATTCACATCACGGCGCTCGGCGGCCCCGGCTCGGGGAGGAATTCGACACGGCGTGGGTGTCCAGAGTGCCG